TGCATTCATAGCTGCACACACCTGTCAACATCTTATAAAGTCAAATGTTTGATTCTTGAATATTTTACAGTTTTGCATGTGTATCTTCCCTAATATTTGAAACCAATTCCACCTTTTTGGGGAGTCCCAATCCAACCCTGCTTGCTACAGTGCAAAAATAATAATGGTGTGCGTGTGCATGGTTTTGGAAGAAGAAACACTAACTACATTTATATCAGATATTAAAAAAAAAATAAAATTAAATTGTGGTCACACACAAAACATTGTTCAGTAAACAGGAATTTCATAAAAATTGGTTTTACAAATTCTTCTTTGTTGAATTTTTTTTTCCATTGGTGTAGGACAACCGTACTGCACTGGTGACACTAACAAGTGTATGCAATGGGTTAATATTGTAACACTTGAGTTTTTTCTTCCATCAGCAGCAAACAGGTTAATTAGTATGTACACAACTTGGGTTTTGTTCACTTATACTCTGTCATTATATTCCAGTCGTGGGCGTGTAGTGTGCTATTTACAAGTGCAATCAGGAAAGCATTGGCGCTCGGTGCTGCAAGTACCTGCGCACTTCACCCCCTGTCTCCCCAACCATAATGAATGCAGAAATGTTAGTAGCAATAGACAGATTGAAATGAAAAGCCTCCTTGATCTTGGCATGTGAGAGATTTGCAATCACATTTTGATTTTCAGAGTGCCGCTTGATTGGAGATTAATGCATGGGTGAAATGACCTTTCTCGCTAGAACTGTTGTTTTTGCACTAAAAGTGTGAAAAACAAATTTCATGTAGCTGGCCTTTTGCACCTTTCTTGTGAGTCATATTATCACCCCAGTTAGGTGTCTGTGTATTAATGGCAGTTTCTTTATTAAACCCACCAGGGGTTCCTTCCTTTTTTCTTTTTTTTTTTTTTTTTCCTTCGTGAGGGGGTGGATTGTGTTACCGGTGGCAAGGTCACTTGCAATTCTTTCTTTGTGCTGTCACTAAACATGAAGTTTCCTTGACTGACTCGTTTTGTTTCGGGGCTGAGCAGCAGAAATCACTGATGAAAATTATTAGCGAGCACAGTAAATACAAGTGTTTTTCTGCAAGAGCCAGGCCATGAGTCAGTGAGCAAAGCTATATAAAAAAGCATGGACTTGGACAAAATTAGCAAGACGTTTATTGTACTGCCTTTGTGCTTAGATTTCAATTTCAGGATCGAGTTCATGTGTCACCGGCAATACCAATATATGGCACGCTTCTAGTGAATGGTTCATCTAATACACACGGGGAAAACTGATTCAAAGGAAAGAAGGATTTTAGTCATTAAAGCAGGACAGTGCTGCTGAGTAAATTAAGATGTACAGGCTTCAGCCAACAAAATAAGCACAACAGGGAATTTTTAGAAGAGCCTCATGCAGAAGGGCCAGTGCTTTTTATATCAATATTTTATCTTTCTCTGCATGGTAATCAAATACATTCAGTTCTACTCTAGGTCAGGGCGCACACAATGGGAAAAAAAGACAATGATGCATGCTTCTGCTTTTATATTTTCTGCCATAGAAGAAAGGCATTGCATTTGAAGTTCAAAACCATTTTATTCAATTTTGTTGCTTGGACTAATTGTTCGGGGCTGAACAATATTTTGGTATCTTACGGTATCTGCAATAGTAATAATCCTCAAATAATATAATATTCAAACATGTTATAACTTTATTATTATATTTTAGACCTCATGCACACTTAAGCTAAAAAATGCTGCATTTACAGGCATTTAAGCTTTTTTTTTCTCTGCTTCTAATCAATTTTGTTGCTTGGACTAATTGTTTGGGGCTGAACAATATTTTGGTATCTTACGGTATCTGCAATAGTGATAATCCTCAAATAATATAATATTCAAACATGTTATAACTTTATTATTATATTTTAGACCTCATGCACACGTAAGCTAAAAAATGGTGATTTTACAAGCATTTAGGCTTTTTTTTTTCTCTGCTTCTAATCAATTTTGTTGCTTGGACTAATTGTTCGGGGCTGAACAATATTTTGGTATCTTACGGTATTTGCAGTAGTAATAATCCTCAAATAATATAATATTCAAACATGTTACAACGTTATTATTATATTTTAGACCTCATGGAGACTTAAGCTAAAAAAATGCTGATTTTACAAGCATTTAGGCTTTTTTTTTTCTCTGCTTCTAATCAATTTTGTTGCTTGGACTAATTGTTTGGGGCTGAACAATATTTTGATATCTTACGGTATCTGCAATAGTAATAGTCCTCAAATAATATAATATTCAAACATGTTACAACTTTATTATTTTATTTTAGACCTCATGCACACTTAAGATAAAAAGTGCTGCTTTTACAGGCATTTAAGATTTTTTTTTCTCTCTTCTAAATGCCCCTCCATGTTAACCTATGTGTCCATGCACACGGGTAGTTTAGAGGCACTAAGAGGCAGGAGTGTTGAACCACTTGCCCCCTGCCCTATAGCAGAAACACTGCTACAGGGCAGCAGGGCTGCGCAAAATCATATATATACATGACTTGCATTTCCCGGTAGGGGGCGCGAGCAGGAGCACGCCGCCCTACCCACGCCGCCATTGCCGGCTAGGGATGTCAATCACCGGGTCCAGGTCAGCGATTCCCCGCTGGCACCTAGCGATCATCGGGGAAAGCTGACAGGGGAGAGACCTGTGTGTAAACAACACAGGTCTCTCTCCTGCCAGCATGGACATGCTGCTTTGTATCTCTCTGCACAGCACACAGTAATACACACACAGCACCCCAGATGTTAACCCCTTCTTGCCCAGTGTCATTAGTATAGTGTCAGTGCTCTTTATTAGCACTGATCACTGTATTAGCGTCACTGGGGATGTCAGTCGCAGTTAGTCAGTTCCCACCCAGTATCAGAATGCCTGCCGCAGTCCTGCTATAAGTCACTGATCGCCGCGATTACTAGTATAAAAAAATTAAAATACAAATTCCAGTATATATACCACCACTTGTAGAAGCTATAACTTTCACATAAACCAATTAATTTACACATATTGGGATTTTTCTTTTAGTGAAGACATGTAGCAGAATACATTTTGGCATAAATCTATGACGAAATTTGATTTTTCAAATTTTTTTATTGGATATGCTTTATAGCAAAAAGTCAAAAATGTTGTTTCTTTCAAAATTGTCAGTCTTTTTTTGTTGATAGTGCAAAAAATAAAAAACACAGAGGTGATCAAATATCACCAAAAGAAAGCTCTATTTGTGGGGAAAAAAATTACATAATTTAATTTGCATGACTGCACAATTGTTAGTTAAAGTAACGCAGCGCCGTATCGCAAAAAATGGCCTGGTCAGGAAAGGGGGAAAAACCTCTGGAGGGCAAGTGGTTAAAGGCAGAAAACCTCCCCACCAAATCACATTCAGGAGAGGAGCTTATGAGCATAAAAAATGCTCAAAAGGTCCTAAACTTGCATAAAGCACATTAACGTACATTAATGCATGTTAATGAATTCTTAGCCCTCATGCACATTGGACGTTTTGATGCTGGTAACATTAGCTGTGTAAAGTCACGTTAAAAAACATGAGTTTTTCAGCTTTTTTTTAGCATTTTTGCATTAATGATAACAGCGTTTTACGGCGTTTAGCCGCCTTTTTCCACATTTGCGGTTTTTAGCATTTTTTTACCCAAAAATTTTTTTTCGGTCAAAAAAAAAAACGCCGGTATGCTGTGTTTTACTGTGTTTTGCCAAATTTTTCAGCGTTTTTCAGCGTTACAGCATTTTTCCAGCTAAAAAACTCCTCTAGAAACCCACTAGTCCTTGTTTTTTTTTTTCCAGCCAAAAAACATCCCTGCCAAAAAACGTTGATTACAGTCTATGTGTAGATGGACACATAGGATAACATGCTGGGGAATTTGCTAGCTGTAGAAAAAAATGTCAAAAACCAAAAACAGCCGCTGTAAAAATGTCCAGTGTGCATGAGGACTAAAAGCCAGAATTCTGGCCAATAGAATGTATTAATGTCAGATGCAGAAACAAGCATAAACGCTTGTAAATGAGCATGCAAAGGTGACATTTTTTAACACGTTTTAGCTGCTGCTAAACTTCTGCCAGATAAAAAAAAAGCTGTCTACTGTATGTAACATTTTAACAGGAAAGCCACAGTTACCTACCTTTTTCCTAAAAAAAAAATGTTTCTGGAATTTTCTGGATAATGACATCCCATACAAACATACGCTTGCACACCACTAGAATGGGCTGTTTTTTTGTGATCAATGATTTAACCTTCAAATGTTTGTTACAAAAGCTGAAATAGTCTATTACCCCTGTTACTTTTATCATACACATGAAGTAACTATATAGTCGAAGCACCAATGTAGAGGAGAAGGCAGCAGTCCAAAATGAATTTATATTATACATTCCATTTGCTACACAGTCACAATCTTTCCAGGTAGCATTCTACATAGGTAATAGGATGCATTTTTCTCCCCTTTCCTTCTACCTCCTCAGTGTCATCTTTTCCTGTATATAGTGTATAAATATATACTGTAGAAAATGTGAATGCATTATACATATGTGACTTCTGCAGTTGCAAAGGTTTGGACTCTTTTTTTGCCATGATATGCTCATTCTTCTCCTTACGTGTGTAAATCCAGAATGGCAGTAGGAGATCTTCAATGGTGAGCTCGGAGGGGTATTCAATGGTAAGCCCAGAGGGGAGCTCAATTAATAGTAAAATTAGTTAACCACCTGACCTCTGGTAAGTTTTATCCCCTTTGGTGACTAGGGCATTTTTTTGCTATTCAGCGCTACTTTAACTGGCAATTGCTCAGTTATACAACACTGTACCCAAATTAAATTAAAATCATATTTTTCACACAAATAGAGCTTTCATTTGGTTGTATTTGATCACCACTGGTTTTTTTATTATTTATTATATAAATGAAAAAAGACCACAAATTAAAAAATATATATTTTCTACTTTCTGTTGTAAAGAATAATAATAAAGTCCACTCCAGGGGTGGACTGACCATTTGGAAACCCGAGCACTGCCCGAGGGCCTGGGGTCAGTAGGGGGCCCCATGAGATGCCCCTGGTACCTTTTTCATAGGCTTTTTTGAGTTTGGGCAAGGACACAGGGGCCCCATGATCCCCTATTGCCCGGGGGCCCCATGAGTTGTCAGTCCGCCCCTGCTCCCCTCCCTCCTAGATTGTAAGCTCCAAGGAGCAGGGCCCTCCTTTCCCTCTTGTATTGAACTGTATTGTTGCTGTATTGTCTCCCGTTATATTGTAAAGCGCTGAGCAAACTGTTGGCGCTATATAAATCCTGAATAATAATAATAAAAAAAAATCTAATTTCTTCATAAATTTAGGCCAAAATGTATTCTGCTACATGTCTTTGTTAAAAAAAATTCCAATAAGTGTATATTAATTGGTTTGTGTGAAAGCTATAGTGTCTTCAAACTATTGCATACAGTATATACGGAAATTACGCAGCTATGAACGCTATACTGGTAATGGTGGTGATCAGCGACTTATAGTGGGACTCTAATAGTGTGGCAGCCAATTTGACACTAATAGACACTAACTGATTAACTGACACTGATACTAGTGATCATACTATACACTGTACTGATGACACTGGCTAGGTAGGGGTTAACATCTAGACGCAATCAAGAAGTTATCTGCATGTTTAACAAGTCTAATGTGTGTAATATGTGCTGCTTTTACTCACATATCTGGCTTTTTTCTCCCTGCTTTTCAGGGAGAAAAAACAGCCAGATCTTTGCTCTGCTTACACAGAATTCTGTGTTTTTGTAAATACAGAACTCTGTGCTGTGATTGGACACAGCTGATCAGCAGGTTTCAGCCCATAACATTGGCTAAAACCTGTTCACAAACTTGTGCTGCGTCCAATCACAGCACGGGTCAGCAGGGGGCATGCACATGAGCTCACAAACCTGGAAGAAGGCCGGCAACATACATGTACATTGACGTGCCTGCACTTGCTGCCCACTCACAAAATATTTACTGTGTGCGAGTCTGCAAGTGATTAATAAATAAATCAAAACCTGCACATACAGAATGCTAAATCCCTAGCTGATCCAGAAGACAGCAAAAAAAAAACTTAAAAAGCAATTCCAATTTGCTACAACAGGAAAATATTCCTTCCTGATGCCAAAAGGTAATCGGATATTCTCTGGATCAACATTCTACGGTGTTTATACTTATAAAGATTTATGTTAAGGGATTGAGTTATTTTGTACATTTCAAAATCATTTAGTCACACATCTTCAGAGCTTAGACTAGTCTCACAATGCTAGTATTTTCCAAGGCCACACACTCCTCCACTAGGTGTATATTCCTCTCTGACTGTTTCCCAGAAGAACCTGGGAGTCAGCATTCCTACTTCTGGTGTAGCTAAACTTATTTGTCCTATTCATACTGCATCAGTGCTCAGAATTCCATCCTCCTCAAACACTGTTCGCTTCCCAATTTATTGCTGCCCTTGTATGCTGTCTACTAAAGAGACCTTTACTCCTTAGCTGCTACCATCGATGGTCCTCTACCCCTCAGCAACAGGCACCCTTTCTCCTGATTGGTGATTGATCAGAGAACAGAACTTTAGTTGCTATACTACTGGGGGAAAGTTGGGTCAGCTCTCTTAAAGCAAAAGTAAACCCACCTATTCTTTCAGCCAAGGAAGCCGCCATCTTAGTCCCTATTTGATCTGCAGTTGCCACAGTGCTGCACATGTGATCAGTCATGACACCAGCCAGTACAACCAACTGTGACAGTTACCATTTATAGCATTCCTTCAGTGTAACTGTTTTTAGATACAGATTGATGAGGTTAGTTTGGCTTTAAGCTGCTTAAATGTAACTAAACGGCCAAATGGTGCCCTTACTAGAGCAGGTGGACATACCCATACATCCTTTTCTTTAAATTGGTACATACACAAAAGACACTGCTTTTGCCTTCGATAGACAGTGGAGAGCATCGACTAAATGCACAGAGCCAATTGGAGGAACACTGTGCCATGCAATTGCTGTATTTTTTCTATGTACATAGGTGAGCCCTCTCCTTTATCTCACAATGGTATAAAGGGGGCTTCAAAGGTCCAATGGGAAGGGGGCTTTAAAGGGCCAATGGGAAACAAAGTTGTGGGATTATTTTGTAGGAGATTTAAAGCGACCACCTATGATGTAGGTAGAGGTGAGGGTCACCAATGATTTGGAGATTGAGTTGAGGGAGGTTTAAAATGTCACTGACCACCAATGTTGTGGGATTGTTTTGGGGATGGGTTAAAAGTGCTGCCAACCGCCAATGATGGGGGTGGTGAGAAGTTTTTGCCAGTGATTATGTTTTGGGAGGTTTTGAAACACCACTGGCCACCAATAATTATGGGATTGCTTTGCATGAAAGAGCAATTATCAGTCAAACTATCAAAACACTTAAAACTAAAAAATGTACTGGACAGGACAAGGGTGCAACATGCCAGTTCTAATAATAATTATTATAAATACCAGGTGTTCTGGAAGGGAGGATAATGGGCAGGGTATTAGAGCTGCTGAGGGAACAAAGTGAATGACTTCAGTAATTCTGACTCAAATTTTTGTGGATGAATTGTTTGACAGTTCCTGCAAATATGGAAGTCTAACTTTGAGGCTCATTTACTGCTTGATACAAATGTGTACAAAACTGAAAGTCCATAGCCTGCCCATAGGTTACTTCTAAGGCAGTTATTGGTCTTTCAATTTTTCTCAACATAGAAAAAGGACCAGCAGACTCCCAGCACCAAAATGTTCTGTACCAGTACAGAACAATTCATATAATAATATATAAATACATCCAATGTAGACAATGCAAATGCATCTCTGTCACTCATTTCCTAAAACTGATACTACATGACCTTTTCTTATATTTGGTTGATTTTAGGAAATAAAGATAGCGTACCTATTGTACTCTCACAAATCTGTGTGCATATAAACATTATACAGAAGAATACAGAAAGTTTGCTCTTCAGCATAACAGCATGCCTACGCTTTCAATATGAGAGCAACTATTTCATGTCAAAACAGTACCGACAGGATAGACACTTTGTTCTCTGTTCCCCTACTGTGGATGTATTCTGAAGCTCTTCACGTTTTATCTTTTTATAGCCTGCTTGCAAAGCTAAGCCTTTGATTTCTAGATGGCCCCTTACTGAATCGAGATCCAGGCTCCAGACTGTTAGCAGGTAAATGGGATGAAGCCCTTTATATTTTTGTCATTGCGATGCAGTGCAAAAGAAAGCATTACATACATGGCAAGTTCATAGAGCCAACTCAGTAGCTGCACTGAAGAGGTATTTTTTTTTCTTTTCAATTAAAGGCTCAGACACAATGGAGCTTTAATAAGCTCCATTGATTTAAAGCTCATTTGCACTTGGCTAGAAGGCCAAGGTCTGTAGAACAAGCTGAGGACTTTTAAATGACTGTGGCTGAAAAAGCATCAGTGTATATTGCTTTGTTGTGTACAGGAATGACTGCTTTCTCAATCACCATGCTAATTAACAACAGACAATACATTAAAAATACAATTAATCATATTTACAGCTTAAGCACTCGCTGCATACTACAGATTGTTTTTATAATTTTAATTAGAAAAATTGTTATTTGTTACATTACTTAGTTTATTATGACCTATTATGGTGTGTTTTAAGATTAAGGGAAAAAATATAATTACTTTTTTTTAGTATGTTGCATTTGACTAAAACCTTGGCTGTAAAGGATAGGAGGGTTTATTTCCACCTTAAGTCCAGGAAGCCATAACGACCTCTCAGATTATCTGCTGATATTAGTTAAAAATCAATTCTTATTGGTCATTGTGAATTGCTGCATTTAATATTTAGCACTTATGATGAAGAACTCTCTTTTTTTTTTTTTAAGGCTATCTGTATCCACTCATAAATGGTCAGGTGAACATGTTGGCAGACACAGTGCAGCATCTCAGTACATTGTCTTTCCCATTACTAACAGATGCTGTGCAATGTACTAAATACAGATTCCCCTACCTGTCACACAGAGCATATCAAATACTACAAGATAGTACTACAGGAGATGACCAGAGACTGCAGACATAGTACAGGTGATGACCAGAGACTGCAGACATAGTACAGGAGATCACCACAGACTGCGGACATAGTACAGGAGATGACCAGAGACTGCGAACATAGTACAGGAGATGACCAGAGACTGCAGACATAGTACAGGAGATGACCAGAGACTGCGGACATAGTATAGGAGATGACCAGAGACTGCGGACATAGTACAGGAGATGACCAGAGACTGCGGACATAGTATAGGAGATGACCAGAGACTGCCAGTACAGGACTGCAGACTGCGGACATTATAGGAGATGGAGCTGCAGACCTTTGGGGAGCGGGGTGGCAGTGGGTACCCAAATTTGAGAGGTACCCGCTCCCACTTCCACTGCAATCGCCTCTCTCCCCGTAGTCTTCTGGGACATATGACAGGTCCCAGAAGACTACAGGACCATTCACAAAGCGTAGCGCTTCTCGCGCATGTACAGTGAGCACCTGGTTGTGAATCTGCAAGCTGTCACAGCCGGGAGCCCACACTGAAGGTGATGAGTACACCGCTGGATCGAGGAACAGGTTCTGCTGCACAGAAGAGCCGAGCGGCCGGCCCGATATTCTAACACGGCAGTGGTGACAGGGGGAATACCGGGCCCACCACTCCATATTCGCTCCATAAGCAGCACAGACATTTTCCCCCCCATTTTTTGGGGGAAAAAAGGGTGTCTTATGAAGAGCGCAAAATCTGGAACAGCTCTGCATAGGAACCAATCAGCTTCCAGTTTCCATTTTTTTCAGAGCTTAAACACTTGAGCTCCTAAAGGTTTTAACCCCTTCATGACCAGAGCATTTTTTTTGCTATTCAGCACTGCTCTAACTGACAATTGTGCAGTCATGCAATATTGTATGCAAATTAAACTTTTTAGCATTTTTTCACACAAATAGAGCTTTCTTTCTGTGGTATTTGATCACCACTGGGTTTTAAAAAAAAGAAATTTTGCGATATAAAAGAAAAATGACAGAAAATTGTGAAAAAAAAAACAATATTTTCTACTTTCTGTCATAAAACGTATCCAATAAAATCAAATTTCATAATAAATGTATGCCAAAGTCTTTGGTAAACAAAACTCAAT